TAAATTAAATATACATTTGAGTTATATTGTTAGTGAAATTAATACTAAAAGTATTATAGCTTTTAAAATACTCATAAATTGTATTAATTACATTTTTAATTATTTATAAATATAAAAATAATTAATTAAAATAATATAATAATGGTGCTCTTTTTACGCTTTCAATTATGAATTCTTGTATGTTAGACCCTCTTACGCTCCTGCTCCGCGAATTGGTTACCTAAGTTCAGCCACTGATCCTTTTTTTATCCTTGGTGCTTTGCGCCCTTTTCATAAAATAATAATGGGTACCTTTACTTACCCAAGTTATTTGTTGATGCAAAACTTGTCGTTAGACATGAGTGAATAAATGCGATTCTGTAGCAATTTGATGCAACTTGCAAGCAAAAGGAAAGAACGATTCCTGAGGTTTGCACTATGCAAATCAATGATAATTTGATTATGCAAAATATATATTTACTAATTATTTTTTTTAGTAAATCTTTTGGAAATTACAAATTTGTATTAATTACATCTTTAAGAATTACGGTATCGTTTGTTTGTGGGATTTGGGTGATGTATTTAGCATCCAAATCCTAAGTATTATGTATTTGCCCAAAAAACATTGTTTGTTGAGGTATACAAATCTGTGGGCCAATGGATTTTGTCCCCTTCTAGCTCCAAATTCGTGGACTCCACGTATTTGAAAATACATCATTTCATTTGCGGGTTGTTTGGATGAGTTAATTGTCAATTGTAGAGTTAAATAACTCATTTATTGTTCATGTGGTATTTCAGTGTTATTTCTGTGGTAATGGAAATAAAGTATCTTGTTTGGTTAAACCATGCAAATGTGGTATTTGACATGTGGTATTTGGTAAAAGTAGAGTGGTAAAACGAGTTATTTCGAAATAACACATGGGTATGAGTTATTTTTAAATAACTCATTGTCCAAATAACTCATTTCAGTAAAACACTCCCAAACGATTTTTTTTTTGTGTTCAAATAACTCATACAAATACTCCTTCCTAACGACCCCCTGGTATTTGGTCATGAAAGACAGGGATTTGCGAGCCATGGTACAAAATCCTTTCGTTTGGATGGAGTATTTGTATGATTTATTTGGGTTCAAATAACTCCCAATGAGTTATTTGGACACAAATAACTTGTTTGGCAGCGTTTTACTAAAATGAGTTATTTGGACAGAGAGTTATTTACAAATAACTCGTTTTACCACTCTGCTTTTACCAAATACCACATGTCAAATACCACATTTGCATGGTTCAACCATACGAGATACTTTATTTCAATTACCACTCAAATACCACATGAACAATAAATGAGTTATTTGACTCTACAAATACCACATTGACAATTAAATCCATCATCAAAATCAACTAAACAAACAATGTTATTTTTCAAAATGCACCAAATCCATCATAAATCCAAAGGTTTTCAAAACTCAAAACCTTCATTTTCAAATCCAACAAGCAAACGAGCCCGTACATTTTTCTCTCTCAAGCATCCCTCTCTCTCACTTATGCTTCTCTAGCTGCCTCTCTGCCTTTCTACGACAGATTTCCTCAGACCACATTCCTCTTGCCACCTAACGAAGTTAGTACCACTGCAAGAAAATCAATACCACTTTTAAAAATCAGTACCACTATTCTCAAACCAGTACTGAAACACAAAAAATCAGTAGCACAATCCAAAAACCAGTGCCACTAAAAACAATTTCAATATTAGTATCAATACAACGAGAACATAAAACGAAAACAATACCAGTTTGAGACTCTTGGAACCAGTGCAAGGATAGTGGCATTGACTTCCTAGGAATTTTACCATGCAAAAACTAATGTTGAATAACCATAGTCACCTAGAGCCATTGACTGGCTAGGCATAGTGAAAGAAGGACACAAAATAGCCATCATGCCCCAAATCTTATCTTCATTCATAGCAAAAATGAGACCCTTTATCTCCTTTTCGGTAACAATAAACCGACAACAAGTTCATCGGTTAACTTCATCTTGAGCATGTTTGATTAAACTCGTCGGATTCTTCAATAACTTATGAGTGAACATACCCTAATAGCTCCTTTCAGACCTCAATCGCGATATCACACATTTCCTACACACCATTAACCCTACAGCCCTGAGCATTATTCAACATTACGATTGTGTTTCTCTTTTGCCTTGTTTTATTGATCTATGGAACTACGTTGAGTTGGAGTTTCCACCTTTTAACCAAATCTCCCTTGATTTATGCCTAAGAAAAGATTCCTCATCCTTCATCAAATAGTTTAGCTCCTGCAGGGGCTGAGATTTAGTATCATAATTCACCTCTAATGAGTCATCAAGATCCTATTGTTGCATATGATTAAGTTCCATTTCTTTATCTGAGATCATGACTCTAATATCATAGTACTCCTCCCTATTTAATTTCGCCTCTTTAATATTCTCAATTTCTTATAAACTCTAACCAATGGAGGACCAGAGATTATACTATTCCAAGCTTCCCTAAGCAATTCATAAAATTTTGGAGATAACAACCATAATTTGAAGAATTTGAAGGGTTTAGGGATTGACTTTTGGGGAACTGATAACACGATATTTACACATGTTTACACCCTCACTTCTTGATCAATTTAGCTTTGATTAGCGTTCTCCTTGGACTCTTTTAAATGTACACTTTTTATCCCCATTTCTCTTTGACATTTGTGGCATTTCCGCTCCATAAAGGGTGGTTTTACTCTAGTTTTGATGTGTTTCAATGTGTTTCAGAGTCTAACAAGTGTAACCAACCCGGAGTTGAAAGTTGGAAGAAATGGCGCAAGTACCTGGCAAATAGGAGGAAACAACTATTGTTCACGGTCCAAGCTGTGAGTTCACGATCGCCAGGACTGTGGACTGAAGCCATGGACCGCCAACTCAACAAATGAAAGCGGTGTGTTTTGGTTGTGTTCACGGTTCAAGCCAGATGTTCACGGCCGTGAACTGGGACCGCGAACTAGGCTTGATCAGTGTATAAAAGGAGAGCTTAAAGGAAGAATAAAGGGGGAGCCCAAAGTGAGCGAAACCTTCTTCTTCTTGAAACCCTAGAGAGAGAAAGTCACGAACCAAGAGAGAGAAGAGGCTAGGGTTTGCTCCAAGTCAAGAATTGGGAAGTTCCTCTTCAAGGGAGGATCTCTACAAGCACAAGGAAGGATTGAGGCATCACAATGATGATTTTTTCCTCTTTCCTTTGTTTTCTTCCTTCTTCTAGCATGGATTAGTCTCCTATTCACTTGGGTGTTGTAGAACCCTAACTTCTACCATGTAGTTGATTGTGTGTGGGTGATGTTTAATTTAAAGTTTTTAGGTATTGTTCATGATGATTGTGCATTTTGTGTGCTTGGCAATCTATTGTGCTACCCTAACCTAGCTTAGAGAAAAACCCTTTTCCTTAAGAGGCTCAAATTGAGTTGGGTTTTCTTAGGCATTTCATGCCTCCTAACTAGGTTAATGTAAGACAAACCTCTAAACTCAATTTAGACATCTAGGTTAATTGTGATTAAGCCGTCCAAACCCCGGTTTGAGGGAGAAGGTAAGTCAACCCTCTTTTGCTTGGGCCAAGAGGGCTACTTTCGTAGCCTATAATGCATTCCTTGGCCTAGCGATTGAGAGTATGGTTTCCAACCACTGTTGCTCCTCCTACGATTCACAATCACCTTGTTGCGCACAAATTCATTCAATCCCATAGTTCATGGTAGTTAGTTAGGGGAAACAACTCACAAGTGAAGCTTCTCGCCCAGAGTTTCAACCCCTTTTACTTTTCAAGCCATGCATTTTTTTATCATGGATTGTAGAGATTCTTTCAAACTTCATTTCACTAGATAATGTTTCAAACAATTGAAGAGGGGTACATGGATAGGCTCGAGTTGATATTTAAACATACTTGCCATATATTGCACCCATATAAGGTTTATGCTTGGGACTTAGGAGGGATTTAAGTGTGATATTAGGAGCGAGTAAGCTAGGTTATGTTATTTTGTTGTACTTTAGGTCCTAGGGAGTAAAGGAAGGCATAGGCGCAAGTTTCGGGTCAATCAGAGGTCGTTTGGTCACTCAAAAGCCTCCCAAAAGTGTAGATGAGAAAGAAACACAGGGAGACTCTCCACAAAGCACGTCTGTGTTTCATCTGGCACTCGCCAGATTTTATTATGTCGAGCATTGTGACGATCCAGAAGCAAACACATGCAGACTTCCCTAATAACACAGCCGTGTTTTGTCTAGCACTTGCCAATGTTTTCTATGCCAAGCCTCTCTTGTGAAGACTGCTGAAGGGATGCAAAACACAGGCGAGACTAAACACGGGCAGGACTAAACACGACCATGTTCCTGACCGTGTTTCTCCCCCTACTCGGGTATGTCCGATTTCTGCGATTTTATGGGGGGGAGTTGGGTTTTGGATCCCAAACACCCAAGGGACGAACACTAGAGAAAGAGCAACTTGGGATCATTTTTGGAGCTATTTTGGAAGATTTTTTCACCATTGGAGCTCGGGAATCAAGCTTGGAGATGGAGATTGAAGATCTAGATAAACTTTCTACATTCTCTCTCTTCTCTATGGAGTAACTTCCCTTCACTTATGCCTTGTTCACTTCCCATTTCATTTTCTGTTTTCTGTTTAAAAAATGAAAATCAGGAAACAAATGACAAAAAACATGTTCACTTGACCATTCCATTTTCCCTGAAAAAACCCAATTATTACAAATGAGAAAGCTTTGGGAAAATGGTAAATACTTGTTTTCCGAAAATAATGGGACGGGTTATCCCCTGTTTCCCAGCGGAAAACATACTAATCCAAGAATCGACCCGCGTTCGATTCACCACGGATACTTTTTTGCCTCTTTTTCCTCCGAGCTTCTAAGCGCCGCCGTTTTGCCACCATAACCCTAGAAGAATATTTTCGTCAGTTCGGCCTCTCCTCCCATTTCCAACCCCGCCATTCCCTAATCCCTACCCCAAGACACCCCGCCGCCATCATCTCCCTCTCCCTCCAGCCTCTCCTCCCACGAGCCCGCAATCAAGAAACCAAGCTAGACCCTTCGTTCTGCCGCCAATCCCGCCATTCCCTACCCCCAGATATCCCGCCGCCATTCCCTTCCTCTCCCTTCCAGCCTCTCCTCCCACGAGCCTACAACCAAGAAACCAAGATCGACCCTTCGTTCTGCCGCCAACCCCGCCATTCCCTACCCCCAGATATCCCGCCGCCATTCCCTTCCTCTCCCTTCCAGCCTCTCCTCCCACGAGCCTGCAACCAAGAAACCAAGATCGACCCTTCGTTCTGCCGCCAACCCCGCCATTCCCTACCCCCAGACACCCCGCCGCCATCATCTTTTTCTCCTTCCAGCCTCTCCTGCTAGCGACCCGTAAGCAAGGTAAGGCAGCAGTCGGCGCCCTGACTTCCTCCAACAGAGAAGCTCCAGCCACGCATCATCCTCCTCTCCTTCCAGCATCTCCTGCTAGCGACCCGTAAGAAGTAGAAGCATCAGTCGGCGCCCTGACTTCCTCCAACAGAGAAGCTCCAGCCACACATCTTCCTCTGCCTGTTGTCGATCCATTCCAGGTACTTACTCTTCCTGCCAACGACCAATCCATGCTTGCTTGTGATGATGAATTGGAGCGGTTTGGTCATGTTTTGTGCTGCTGAGTTTGAATGGAAATAGTAACAATGGACAGATTTGTTACTTTATTGTTTTGATTGCAAATGATGTTGTCTTCTTTTGTTTTGTTTGATGTCAATTTGTTGGTGATATCTTATTTCGTATTGAATTGTAGCGTGATAAGCGATGGCTGATATTGATGTCGAAAACAATAATGATTGTGTCATACTTGAGGGAGCCGAGGTTTGGCCTGATAAAGTAGTCGAGTATTTCATTGCTTTGATGCTCGAGGAAGTAAAGAAGGGGAACAAACATACGACAACTTTCACTAAATTGGGATGGTCCAACATTCAAAATGGGTTGAAGATTAAGTTCAACAAGGACTATGTCACCGAACAGTTGAAGAATAAATTTAATTTGATGAGGAGGAAACACCGGGAATTCAAGGACTTAATCAGTCAGACTGGAATTAGTTACTCTTCTGTAATAGGAAGGATTGCTACCTCTGATGAGCAGTGGAAGGTGTGGAACGAGGTAATTGACATTTTTCGTCATTGTGATTGAATTGAAAGTAGTAATTAGGAAAGAGGAATTGATTAGAATGTTGCATTTGCAGCGATACAAGATGATGGGGACTATTAGGAAGCATGGATGTCCAGAGTATGAAAACCTATCCATATTATTTGGTGATACAACTGCCTCTGGTGCGAATGTTATTGCTTCTACTCACGAGGTCTCAGATAGTAGTGCTGGACCTAGCAAAGCAAATGATGTGGATCTTGATGGTGAAGAAAAAGTGGGTGGAGTCTCTGGTTGTGCCAAGGAGACGTTGCCCAAAGTGAAGGGTAAAGGAAAGAAGAGAAAAGCAGCCAAATCTGGCTTTACTAATGCAGTGGAGAATGCCATAATCAGCATGGCTGAAGACTCTAAAAGGAAGAGTGAGAGGCGTGAAGCCAAGGAGGCCGACTCTTCGGTTGGAGGACCTATGCATGATGTATCTTCACAGGATAAGGAGTTTGACATTATGACTGAATGCATAAATTTATTAGATGAAATGGAGGTGGAGGCTAATGTATTTGTGAAGGCTTTCGATGTTCTACATGATTGTCCACTGAAGAGAGGACTTTTCTTGCGTATGACAGAGAGGAGAAGGAAAGAATGGTTGTTGAGTTTAGTGTGACTATGAGTGTTTGTTGAGAACTGCAGTGGCATTTGTTTGTTGAGTGTTTGATGAGTTCTTACTGTGATGTTTGATGAATTTTAGTATGATGTTTGATGACTTTTAATATTATGTTTTCTTATTGTAAGAATCTTATGAACTAAGTTGAATGTTTGAGTGTTATATAACTTGTATTTGGGGTATTATGCATTTCTAATGAAGTTATTATGCATTGCAGAACTTATGAATTTAGATTCAGATTCTGATTCTGATGAAGAGTTGAAGTTCATAATGCTTGTGGCTTTGTTGGAGAATGAGTGATCTAAGTCTGTTAGGATGCCATGTAGAACCTCAGACAAAACAGGACATGCTTGGGTTCAAGAACTTCTCTGTGGGAATCCGATTAGGATATATGAATCACTCCGAATGGATAAAGAAATTTTCTTTGCATTGTGTGAGGAATTGAAGCAGCATGGTGGGTTGAAGGATACAACTAATGTGATGATCGAAGAACAAGTTGCAATCTTCCTCAAGACTATAGGTCACGCAAATGAATTTCGCGACCTTGCAGAACGGTTTCAACATTCTACTGCAACCATCTCAAAGTACTTTAATCTAGTGTTGAAAGCAGTGGTGAAGCTTGCAAACAGGGTCATTGTTCCCCCAAATTTGGAAGTTGTTCCCGAAAGAATAATTGATTCAAAACATGATCCATATTTCAAGGTAAGCAATTCTCTTTATGATTGAGGATTAATATTCCAATGTACTTTAATTATGACACTTACTCACATGAATTTAGGATTGCATCGGAGCAATAGATGGAGTTCATATTGACGCAGTGGTGAGCAGATTACATATCGAGGACGGAAGACGACTACTACTCAGAATGTAATGGCTGTTTATTCTTTTGATATGCTCTTTACCTTTGTGATGGCTGGTTGGGAGGGTACATCAAATGATGCAAGAATTCTTACTGAAACAGTTTCCAACCCATCTAACAACTTTCCCATGCCACCACGAGGTACGAAATGATTGTCTCTTTATTTTAGTAATTATAGTACACATCTCATATGACTAATTGATTTTATATCTTATAGGTAAGTATTATGTTGTTGATTCTGGATATGCAAACATACCTGGGTTTCTAGCGCCATATAAGACAAAAGAAGCATGTCATTTTCAAGATATCGATCGTGGAGGTGGACCAAAGACTCGTAAACAACTTTTTAACTATTATCATTCATCTCTACGCAATGTTATCGAGCGTTGTTTTGGAGTTTTGAAGGCTAGATTCCCCATTTTGAAGCATATGCCTCCTTTCGATCTCAAGAAACAAGCACACATTGTTCTTGCATGCTGTGTTATACATAACTTTATTAGGATCCACTCTGGTGACGACACTCTGTTTGAAGGTGCTCAAAATTATTGCACGGGGGAGAATGCCAATGGAGTGCAAGGAGGACAAGAACGAGAAGCATATAATCATAGTTCAAGCCAAACTCGAGCCATGGATGCACGACGAGATGGAATAGCAAACAAGTTGTGGGATGACTTTCAAGCTGGACTTATTTGAATTTTTATGTTGTACTAGTACTTAATTAATATAAGATGTTGTACTTGTATTGTGTTTATTTGTAGTTTAAAAACTATTTAATTCGAATTAAAAATTATAATCATGGCTAGGGTTGTATGATAATCAAGAATCAGAAAACAGAATGAAGCAACTAAACAGGTTTTCTTTTTAGAACTCAGTTTCAGAACTCACCAAAATTCTCAGCTAAACAAGGTTTTTTCAGGTTTTGTTTTCCAGGAAATGACAGCTTCGTTTTCATTTTAATTTTGTTTTCTGTTGTGGCAGCTAACAGAAATGGAATGGCAAGTAAACGGCCCATTAGGTGTTGAGGAACCATAGTTCCATGTGTTAGGATCTTTCTTGTATGAATCTTTGGATGGCATACTGTTTGATTTTAATCAATTGAGACATGATTTGTTGAGTCATTTGAATCCTGATCATATTCTCTTGACTTCTGCTTGAACCTATGATATATAGAATCTGATAAGGTTGATAGAGCTTCTTCAATTGATAGGAATGAATTGATTAATCGAGAGTCAGTCAAATCACTGGCTTTGTACTAGAATTCATTCCACGTAGTGGAGATCTGTGTGAATCGCCTTAGAATTCTATCCGGAAAAGGGCTTGGTTAGCTTAAGATATTCCAAGCTAATTTAGGATCTTCTGCAGTTTAATCAACAGTAAACGATCGAAGGAAACTACAATTTGGAACTTATTGAAGAGCTAGAGGGAATCATACCTAAGTGAGTTTCCAACCTGCAATTAGTAGTTATACCTAGTTTAGCTTGTAGAGTAGTTTAGTTAATCAAATCTTAATCTGGTTTGCCAGATAATGAACTGAAGCTGAGTAATAATAACTCTAGCGACCCGTGGATTGGATATTTATTACTTGTGTCACTATAATGCAGTCCCTTTCATTGGTTACACTTGGCCATTGTTCGAAGTCGTGTTTTAACGAGTCAGGAACTTCAATTTCCATAGGGTAGTGATGGAAAATCCAGGGATTTGAAAGTGGACACAGCTATCATCGAATTTATCAAGCCAATCAAGATTTACTAGAACCCTTTTCAACCTCCTAGCACTGGGATTCCGTACTTATTTATTTAGCCAAGTGAACCAAGGCCTCGTGACATGGTGATCTTATAATTCCAAATCAATGATCCAAGAATCAAAGCAGTCATACTCACACATACTTGTGAGGAATTTAAGGCTTCTGACATAATTAAAATCCCCTAGTAGTATCCAAGGTTCCTGCACTAACTTTCAATCTCTTTATTTCTTCATACAAGACAAGCCTATCAATGCATTGGCAAATGTGGCAAAGAAAGAATTAAACCCCTTCCCACCAACACACACCAGCACCTGAATGAACATGTCAGAAGAGTGAAGAACTCTAAGTTGAAGCTTAGGCTTCCAAATCTATCAAATTTTCCCTAAACCCAAGGAATTGTATTTAACTTCTATTTTCCAGTTAGGAAACTATTTCTTTATTAGTTTCTGAGTCTCTTATTCTGTTACCTTTGGTGCTAAAATAGCTACTATATTTGTATTATACTTATTTATTTGGGCTAATTCTACTAGAAGAACCCAACTATGTAAAAAGTATCAATTGTGTCCTGAACTATTCAATATGACAATCCTGGCATGAACTTTCATCTTCGTTAACTTTGTTAAAGTTGACTGTTAGTTTTCAACGGTGAACAATTTGACTACTGATGTGTCAGCAGATGTGGATTATTTTTACATTAAAAGGGTCAAAAAAATAAAAAATACTCTTTTATTCTTTTTACTCCTCATCCCACCAATCCACGCCTGCCGCAAACCCTTCTAAAAACCCACCGACCACCACCCCCTCCGCCTCCAAGCCTCCGCATCGTCCGCACTACCTCCTCCTCTCCCCTCCACCACTCCAACAACCCCAACAAAAATAAACCTCACAAGATCTCCATTTGAAATCTACCCATCTCTCACAAGATTCCTCCCCTCTTTTTGCCACTCC